TGCAGATTATTTTCCAACCAAAGCGTTGTTCAGAGGACGAATGGTGCTGAGGAGGCGTGCTTATTGACGAACATGAAGTTTATTTCCTCCTCTCCAATTGGCGTTTTTTTTTTTTTTTTCTCCCCTTTTGCTCAGAAATTAAAAGAAAAAATAAAACACTAACTCCCACAAACCTAATGTTTTCTTTGAGATATTTTTGTGTACAAGTATCGACAGTATTAATCTTATTTTTGTATTACATGTTATACCATAAACTGTATGTTAGTATTTTAGACATTACATGATTATTTTCCACCTCCCTGTATGTGAACAAGCACATTTCTTTCCTACAGTCATAACTACACCATTGATCTACAAAGGTTACCAAATATACCATGCTAAACACTAAAACATTGTGTGAAAAGGGGTTTTGTCTTCTTTACAGCCCTTGTTCCCTTGGTTTTATGGCAGTGGGCTGCATTTAAAGGCCCAGAATGTTCTTTTTGTGATGTTTGCGGATGCCAATGTTGCCTGTATTTATGAAATGACACCATGTTTTCAGATAACTAACATACTTAACATGTTTACAGAGAATAGTTTGTTGTATATACATATAAATATATATCTTTTTATAGTTAATGTGCTTTGCACAATCAACATATAGGGTTTGTTGCTTTTTGTCTGTGTTATCTCCCTAACTGTTGCAGCCTTTTTTTTTTTTTAAAGACATCATTACAGACCTTGGACTGTAACTGTTAGCTTCTCAGCTGTGTACAAATGGTTTACTAGTGGCTTCTACAAAAAGATGGAGAAAAATAATAAAAACATGTTACCCTGAAAGATGAGATGAAGGGGGACTGCTTGGCTTATGTTGCTTATTGTTATTTTGAGCTGGCAACTGATTTTTTTTTTTTCCACAGTGTACCAGCAATGCAAAAAACGAATAAAAAATTAGCAATTCGAAATGCAAAGCATTGTTCTTATAGGTTAAAAGTCAGCCAATTATTCCACATTTAAATTCCCACACATCTGGAAATGACTTTAAAATGGTCTTTATTGCACACATACTGGAATGAATAAAGTTAATTTTTATTTCACTATAAAAGTCCTCTGACGTGAGAACTGTCCTCCCACAGTCACCGCGTCTCTTCGTGTCCATTAAGAGCAGGTGTTGACGCGTCGCTGGGTGAACACTGGGAACAAAGAGCAGAGTTGAGGATAATAAGCTCTCACTGTTTCACTCTTAATAAGCATTCAGTTTCTTCTCCTTACACTTGTGATGGGTGGAGTGTCATCAGGACTGGCGTCAGCTATGGTAGCCAGATAGACAATGTTGCGGTGCAGGATCTGTTGGTACCTGTTTCACATGCAGAACAGACCAGATTTACTGAAGGGCTATTTCCCTGTTTTTAATAACTACAATCTGCTGCAGCTGAAAATCAGATCCACTTGAAGGGATCAAGCTTAAGCTGGTCATTTTATACCTGTTTAATCTTTAAAATACAGTTAGATTTAAAAAAAAAAAAACCCATGTATTGCATTTAATTTGTGAAAACAAAAGCCATTTTAAGACTGGTTCCTTCACTGCATTACAGTTAACACTATTGAAAGCATAAAGAAAACGGGTTCTGATGTAGGAAACCTTAAAGACAAGTTCTGTCTTGGATGCAGCCTTAAAAATCCTATTTTTATGTCTGCACAAGTAGAATAAACTGTTTGGAAATCACATTCTGTATGTTGCAGAACCACCAGGCTAAAGTTAGAATCTTATTCTGCAATAACAGAGTGATTTATAACTCCAAAATAGTCTGATATTCTCAAAGCCTTACAATTGACCGTTCAGAATTTCAACTATGTTTTTCAGAATCTGAAAAACATCGTTGAAATTAGAATATCCCTGTAGTTTTTAAATGGGACCCAAAGAAAACTGACCTGATGCCAACAAAATCCCTAAATTAATCTGTCTGGTTAAAAACAGCGGTGGGTAATAACTAGTTACATTAACTTAAATAACCTTTTGTGGTGGTGGTGGTAGTGGGGTGGTCCTTTAGGGGGGTTTACTACACTATACCTTTGTAATATTGGTATGAAGTATCGCTAGTTTTAACCTACCCACTTTGAGTAAATTTACTGAATGATGAATTAATATATTTTAACCAAAATATATAACAGACACACTTTATGTTAAAGTGAGACCTCTTGTTTCCAGACGAGCTTTGTTTGTCTATCTGCTGAGCCTGTTGTGCAATTTACAGATCGAGCAGATTTTATATGTAATATGCATTAAACATAATCCGTTCAAGTATTTCAATATTGAACTGGCACAGAGATAAAGTCCAGTGTGCAGGGTCAGAGCTTCAGGATCATGAACATCATCAGCAGGCTGTTTTAACTTACTGCACACACTCCACAGCGCGTCCTTTCTGCATGTACTCGGTGATGCATCTTATCAGCTGGTCGTTTTCATCCAGTAGCTACAGCAGAGAAAAACACAGGAGAGATAAAAAAAAAAGTCACATTTACTGGCCAATATGTCGCTACCGTTAGCTATGAATCAGCTTTTCAGACTAAGCAGGAAGTAAAATGAATCCTTGCTGATGCTTTATCAGCTTCGTCAGCGTCGTTTCTTACTCTCTGTATTGTTTCTTGGTTGATTTTTGCCTTCCCTCGGAGCTTCTTTGGGACAAAAACAATCGACATGTCTGAGCTGTCCTTGTTTACCTCTGATGGCCGCGCATTTTCTTCCGCCGCACGTCTTCTTCGCCTCCAGAATTAAATGACTGTGTTGCAACCGCAGAATTAGCGCCATCTGCTGGAAAGGTGACGGTCAAACGCAGCTTCTCATTTAAATGTTTTAATTTATCAGTGGCGCCCACTAACAAAAGATCTACGAGATGTATGCGAAAATATATCGTTAAGGCATTTATGCAAGTACAAATTTATTTATTCTATTTACAAACACCGTTCAGTTTTTATTTGTAGCAAGCTCAATTTAAAAACAAAGAAAGGATAACACTAGGAGAAATCTGATAGAAATAGATGCTCTGTCAGTAAATGTTAGTTTCATCCTAAGCCATTAAAAAAAATCCCCAACAAATATACATTTTAATTCAAAATTAAAAGAAACATTTGGGAATGGAATATTCCAATGCATATACACAAGAATAACATTTTTGTTCAATTGCTATACAACCCTCGCAAATTATGTTAAATAATTTCATATTAAAAATGGCCCCTATTTTTCAAATCAAGAAGAAAGCAAACGTTTGACAAAGTTATTGAAAGAAAATAAAATCTTTCTGGTATGATCAACCCATGATCCTGCAAGGAAAAGCAGATAGGATTCAGAAATGAAACTTCAATTGGCAGATTGGAGATTTAGTAGATTTTCAGTTGTCTCACACTCTTCCTGATGATGGATTGAATGGTTTGATTTATTCAAAAGTGGAGACATTTTATTTCCCCAAGTTTGGAAAACCCTGCATGCACATCAAGGCTTTGCACGAATAAAACAATGCAAAAAAAAAAAAAAAAAAAAAAAAAAAAAAAATCAAACGAGAACAAAATAAACAAGGACGACATATAAATTGTACAACTCTTTATTTTTGTAAAAACTCAATTTTGATGATATCCCAAGAAAACAATTCCAGTGACTGGAAAGAGTAGCAAACATGAAAAATGTCAGTTATAACAATTTAGGCTCAAATCAAATCTTATTGGTTGCTGTTAAAGCCAATATAAAGCATTACTTCCACAGGCCATCGTGCATTTAGAAGTTGTTTGTGCGATAACCTTATAAGTCATTTACTGCGCTGCCAACTTAACCACATTTGAAGAAAAAAAAAAAAAAGTATGTATTCTCACCTTGTAGTGCCAGCAATACTTCTGTCACAATGTAACATTTAATTAATGGGAGAAATACGAGGGGAAAGAAATCATACCACCATGCTCAAGGCACTCCCTACAAAGTTTGAGGATTGGATTTAAAAACAAAAGAGAACCTTCTTGAAAGTACTGGTCGCCGCATCCAGCTTTTTGTCCCTTTGTTCACGAGTCGGTAAAAAAATAAATTCACTCCTGAGAACGATCACATTGACGATGCAACAAATGGAGCTACAATTTATCAGAAATCCAGTTAAAAATGCATCTGAATCCTCGTCAGACGTTTCCCATGTTGAGTAAACAACTCCTGTAGCACTACAAGTGCTTCGTTTAGCTGTGTGAATTGCTGCCTGTTGACATAATGGGGGACACACCAATGAGTACGACAACACAAAGGGACGTCTTTACATAAAAAAAACAACAAGGATTTAAAGTACTGAAATTACAAGAACGTACATATAAGTGACAAATTTTCCATTGAAGACTTTTTCTTGGCAAAACAGCAAATTTAGGGAAATAGAACTTAAGTGTCTTTTGCCAAGACGCAAGATAATTAACATCTTTTCAACACAAATTAGAAAAAAAATCACCTCCTTGTATTTTTAACTATGTAAACACGGCCAAAATTAAATCCCTGTGCAGCTGAAGCTTTGTGAAACATACCGAACAAAAGAACTTTGACGCCTGCATTTGAAAGCTCTTGGTACCTGCAGACATCCAGCAGGAAAACAACTCATCTGACGCAGGAGGTCTGAGGGCCAACATAAGTCGAAAGGCGGAAAAAGTCAGCTGGCTTGAACTATTTTACATTCAGTCTTTACAAACAGTTCTGATGTATGATTCTGTAAGCCTCACTACTTCATAGAAAATCAAAGATAAAAAAAATACTACTAATGAAGTAAAAACACTGAACACATGGCAATCTAACTGAGCAGAAAAACGCATGGTGCAACAGGCAGTGGTGACAGATTTGGTGCCGACAAATATCAAAAAGTTAAAGAAAGAAAGAAAAAAAAAAAAAGAGTAAAGCTATTGATCACAAGGGCTGCGATCTGCTCACAGTTTAAGAGCGTACAGCTCCTAATATCGACAATATCAAAGACAACTTTAGTAAGAAAGGAATTCAACTGATGCAAAAGTACGCAATTACTCCAAAGCTTTGTATTTACATGTGATCTTCTAATTTTTCCAACAAAACTTCTGGAGAAAGAAACCAAAAAGTCTCAAGGTGGAGAGCGGGAGTGGGGACGTCACCCCCTGGTGTCAGGCGGTCCACCGAGGTGCTGGTGTCCAAATAATGTCTTCATTCTTTCTGTCAAATGTAGAGACCACAGGAAATTTCTACAACGGGCATAATTTCATGACAAGTGGCTACAATTCTTGGTGGATCCATCACTGAAGTACTACGCAGCCACCTTGTTATCCTTCTGGAACAGATAAAGAAAAAACACCAGGAATCAGCAAAAAGCTGATTCAGCTTAGATTTTTCTTTCTACTAGATTTCAGTTGAATACGTTACGATAATATGATAATATAGTATGATAATACAGTAATTAAGCGTCCTTGTTATACTTACCCTGTATTCAAAATCAGAGAAATCACGGCCTCCTCTGCCACCCCTGAATCCGCCCCTGAAGCCGGGCGGGGCCCCCCGCGGCGGCCCAAAGAACCCTCTGCTCGATGGCCGGCCCCGGCCTCCGCGGGGCCCCATGTACCCTCGCCCACGGAAACCGCCTCTTCCACGTTGGTGTCGGAGAGGAATGCCGAAAGTCTCTGCGTTCATTCGTCTCTCCTCTGCCCAGGTTGGCCTGCGCTCCCTGACACAAACGCAAAACACAAAATCGGCTCACAGTTAACTTTAAACGGCAAAAAAATAAATAAATAAAAAAGCCACACACACACACACACACACACAAATGTGGAGGAACTGCTTGGTAACACAAAGCTTTTGGTTCCAAATGTTCACATTTTGCTTTAAGTGATGGTAAGATGCCAAAGCGAAATAAGGATGTATTCACGCCTGACCAGAGTTTGCTTCCCCTGTTGGTTCTTTTGTCTTAGTGTGAATACATTCGAGTGAACTCCGGTGCTGACCAAACAACCGGACTGAGACCCATTTCTGGAGGCGGTTTCACTTCCAGGCGAACTCTGCTGCAGTTTGCTTCTGGTTTTAATACAGACCAGTATTAATCTGAACCAACTACAGGAATTACACGCCTTTCTGGACTTCAGCAGACACCAGTGCTGGTCATTATCGTAAAAATACTGTAGCTAATGCATGTAATGACTGAACTGAAGTCGCATCTGATCCGCTTTCTGCTTAGCCATGCTGCTGCCAGCATGTTGTGGGTCAGACAATGCAGAGAATCTGGTCCCATTTAGCTTGCACCAGTTTTTACTGATGCAGTTATAAAATTAGAAATTTTACAGTGTGAAACCTGCACTGTATGAGCTGATCTGAAAATTCAAAACGCCGTTTCAGTTGTAATAACGGGACAAATGTGCAAAACAGAAATGCAGCAGCAGAACCTCCAGAGTTTGTTTACTTTCTCGGTCTGTGTTCTGTCCCACCCCATCATTTCTGTCCAATGGGAGCAAAGATCATCACCTGCATTGCTTTGTTTACAAATTATAGTCCACTTCCCCCCCCCAAAAAAAAGAAGAAAAAAAAAAGTGCAATTTGAAAGGAAATGGCATAAAATTTTTTTTAATAAAGTCTGCTTTTAGTACAGACCAAACAAGGGACTTTCCTTGAGTGAATACAACCTAAAAACCAAAAAAACAGCCATCATTTTATTTGTTTTAGCAAAACTAAATCAAATATAGCGTGGTTACTTTACAGACAAATTTTAACAGACGACGACTGAGGTTTGACTCGGTTCACCAGTTAAAAATTTGCCGCTGCAGTAAATGATGAAACTTAAGAGAATATTTGACTTACCTTGGAAATCCACCATCACCCGATTTACTTGAAGAGATAAAAAGAAAAAGTCAGTTGCGGTTTCACATGCTGAAATATATGAATTTCATGAACAGAAAGTCAAACCAGTGATGATACAGTTAAATATCAAGTCCACACAGAGTTGGATGCATCTGAGCCGTATCTGCTGTGTGAGCTGTAGTACCTTGAATCATCACAGGACAGGTTATCAAAGAAGGACTTAGTCTTGTCATAGTAGCAGGTGTTTATCGTAGCCTCCTCTTCCTCAGTGGCGCCCTCGTTGGCTGGATGTTCCGAGTCAGCAGTTTCTTCTCCGTTCAGAGCCTTTTCAGGTTTGTCATCTGTTTGTTGGAAGAAATTAGAAACAACATTTGCTTTTTCATTTTTTTTTTTTTTTAGCAGGAGCTGAAAAAATATGCTCATCTAAAACAAATTTTGTAATTATTATTTAGCGTTTTAGAGTCTGGATGATGCAGAGGGACATTTGTATTATTTTTTTAAGTATGTAGCTTTGCACTGACAGATGTAAACCTGCTCCTGAGTCTAAGTTAGATGATGGTGATAAAGAGTTCCTAAGCTGTGTTTAGGCATCGTGTGGAGTAGCTAACAGCTGCTGAATCAGACATCATCCTGAGCTGAAATGCTACCTTTCAGTTTCAGCTTGTTCTGAAACTCCTTGTCAATCTCATCCTTGTGAAACTGGGCGTTGGCAGTTTCAAAGTCAAAGTCCTCATCAAATTTCATGGTGCCATCTTTACGCATGTTCACTCTGCCCCTGCTGCGGTTTCCTCTTCCCCGGCCGCGGCGGTTGGACTGAACACCAGCTAATACCGGGAAAACATTCACATTTAGAAAACAGAGCAAGTTTGACAAATATAACACTAAGCATGGTAGTACTAGCTCTATCATGTCTAAAATCTCTTGTTAACAATACTGCATACGGAGAAAACTGATTTATGTAATAAAGGCTTAAGTTTATTTTACCAATTTGACGCCTGTTAGGATCCCGGTTCTCGACAGCACCCTGCTCATGATCGGGCTGGGAAGTCTTCTGAACATCAGGAGCTGAACAACAAACATTCAGATGCTCATCAGTGAAAAAAGCCACCAAGCAAACAGGCATGAATGCAAATGGAAAAAAAAAAAAACACACACACACACAAATGTTGAATCTTTGCACCAGTTTATACCCCCCAAAATTACAATTTTTGCCCCCGACTGTGTATGCAATCTTTGACCTGGCTTAGTGACACCTTCCTCTCTGAGTGAACTTTCAGACCAAGTCAGTATAGAAACATTTTGAACACATGATAGTAATAACTTTATGCATTTACAATTTATACTCCAGGATGAACCAAATAAATAAATATCTGGCACTGACACAAAGATATGAGCTTGTTAAAGCCTCACCTTTCTTCTGCTCAAGCAGATCAGGGGGTTTCTGGCTGCCAGTGGCAGAGCTGCTGGGTTTGGCCGTCACTCCTGGCTGAGTCCTCTGACCAACGGCGGCAGGCAGACCAGGTGCAGCTGACGGGGGAGCCTGCACCGACGGCTCCACCGGGGCACTTTTAGCCAAAGAGTCCCGCTGAGGACTTGTACGTCCTACACAGCAAAGGAAAAAGCAAATCTAAGTTGATGTTGATGCAACTTGGTATTGGATCCGCTGCTGTTTTTGTAAAACACATGAACGCCGAGCACAAATAAATGCAGATAAACTGTAACGTTGAAAGGCTTTCATTCTTTTGATTTGCTGCAATGATGTGAACAATGGAGATGACTTTACTTTGATTGTGCCATCTGTCAGACAAGTCTGCTTCACTAGTAAAAAATGCTAAAAGTTGTAATTTTGTGATAAAATCAGAGCCTCTTGTTATTTAATGACAAAGATTATACACATTCTCAACTACAAATAAACATTTCTTCGGTTATAGTGCATCGTGGCAACATGATTTTAACTATAAGGAATGTTTCTTTTTCTTTCTTATTTTTTTTCTAATTGTGACAGCGACTGACCTCCAGCAGATCCAAACTGCTGCGACCCGATGGGTGGAACGCCGAACTGGCTGTAGGAAGGAACCGGAGCCCTGCTGAATGCTGCATAGGAACCAGCTGACCGGAATGATGGTGCAGATGCTGCACTGGAGGATCCAATTGATGACTAAAAAAGTAAAGACAATTGTAAGAATACACATACGTTTTGAATAAATTGCTCAACAGTTAATAAAATAAATAAATGCGTGCAAGTCTAAAATGACCAATACACCACCTTGCATACACTACTTATAAGCAATTTGATCAGTTGCAGTTGGAAAAAAAAATAAAATCATGGTCTGTCTCTCTCTCTCTCTTTTTTTTTTACAGCAGATGTAATTTCATGATTCATATTTAATTTCTACAAATATATCTTGTTCATTTTGGCCCATTTAACACATTTATTATCTCCATTTTAAGCTCTTCGTTTTATTGGGAAAATATCTATTTTGATAATCACCTTTTACATCAGTCTAATGTAATTGGTACATTTACAGTGGAAAGTGTAAAATAGGATTGTGTGGCAACATGAATTTACTTTTAGAAGCAATATGATTTTGTTTTCAGTTCCCGAAAAATAGCATTTCTAGAGACATAACTTTCTTTTCTGATTAACATGCGTGAAGACAAAAGACGTTCAATACAGAAAACATAAAAATCAGCATAATAAGCAGTCTTTCTACACATAAATAAATTTACCTGCACTATGGCAGGGTCCTGAGGAAGAGAGCTAGTGGCTTTGGGTGGCTCGCAAACTGTTAGGTCTTTTATATCGCTTCCTCTGAAGATGATGTACTCAAATACTTCATCCCGAGGTGGTATAGGCCTTTCTGTGGGACGGTCTTCAGTGCCAAAAGAGCGAACTGTTTGGAAATAAAATGCAAAGTTACAAAAATCAGCTACTATAAGTGAATCTGTGGCTATTATTTGAGCTGTGATTACTTGATTGGTAAGTAGGCTACTGGCATTGATAACATATTTATAATACACTGAGGATCAATATTGGAGTACTTGCAGATACAGGGTACTCATAAAAGTGTCCTCCTGGAACACTTAGAAAGATCACAAATGTGATTTTTTTTTTGATGAATAAATGACTATTAGATGTTAAAACAATTTCAATCCAACCATTGGTCTTTTTTTAAACTGTACATATTTGCTGATGAATGTTGTAATTTGAGACGCAATGTTTCACAATTTAAGAGAGAATAAACACTACAGCTCTTTGATTTCTTATGCAGATCTAATATCTTGGAATTATTTCAACGTTCTTTTGATGGTTGAAACATTACATTCTTTTGGTTTTACATTAAACTCTTGCTTGCATAACTACAACGATCCTTCCAATATTTTTCTACTACAAACCTAATCAATAACAACATTTAAAAAATAAACAATGGATGAGGCCAGCCTAGAACATTCTTTAAAACTAAACACTGAATTAAAACGCAATGACAAGTTTCACGTTCATAATCTGTTCATCGTCATATTTAAAAATATACAACGGTGAACCTGTTGAAATTTGTGATTAAACTTAATGAAAATGTTTCAGAGCATTAAAAAGTGACTTGTATAACCCAATTATCTTATAAAAACTGGGAATTCGGACTTAAATACAATTCAAGCGGGCAAAAAATGTTTTATAGTATAAATATGCAAACTTTTGAAACCATTTCTTTCTCAACGGTGGATTAAAGAAAAGGTCGAAATCAACGTAAACAAAAGAGACAGCGTTACCACAGTTTAGCTAGCCGTTAGCCGGCTAGCAAAATGCTAGCTAACTAAGACAACTGCGTTAAAAAGCACATTGACAAAACTACTGTTGGAAAATTGCTAATTTTGCCCGAATGAGAGCTACAATCCTCTTTGGGTGGGTTTTCTTACCTTTAGCAAGAGCTACTGTCGAGTTTTCAGTGTCGATGGTGTATAAAATTCCTTCATAGCGAATTTCGGCCTTAGAGATTAGGCTAATTTTGCTGCCAATGTACGGCGTCCCTCCTCCGCTCATTTTTATCCGCCGAGTTAACTAATGCGCTCGCTATCGAATAATATGTTTATCTTCCGACGCAAAATCAAATGTTAAATATTCTGAAGCGATGTTTCAAAACTACATAGCATAAAACTAATAAGATGCTATCCCTGAACCACATTCGTCCCGTTCCTTGACTCCTTAACACGACATGGCCGACTTCATTTTTGCTTCCTCCGCCGCTAAGGATTCTGGGACAAAGATTGTGCTCTAAAAATACGCTTCCTCTCTTTTAAGTAGCTGCTCAAGTAAAACTACTTGGATTTAGAGAATATGTTTGGACTTCAGCAAATACATATAATCAAGTATCTTAATCAATTTAAATTATTCAATAAAAAAGATAATTCGTCAATAAAAGTAAACCTATCGCCAGCGGTTATTGGACAAGAAGCGGGGTACACCATGGGCAGCAGTCTATTACCAGACATCAGACACACAACACCCAAACATTGTCATTTTGCAATATTTTGCAATATTTTAAAAATTATGTAATTAGAGAGGCAACATTTTTAAATATATAGGTGCAAATTCTGTTGTTTTAAAGACTAAAATGGAAACACACACACACACACGCACGCACATGTTTGTCTGGCTATTTTTGTGGGGACTTTCCATTGACTTCCATTAATTTCTACAACCTAAACCTTACCTTTACCCTTTTCCTAACCCTAACCATCACATACCTAACTCTAACCCTAACCAAAACTCAATTCATACCTTAGCCCTAAATCTGACCCCTGACCCAAAAACAGGGTTTCCCCTCGTGGGGACCAGGCTCCGGTCCCCACAAGGAGCAATTGGTCCCCACAACGTAGCATATGTCAGGAAAATCGTCCCCACAAGGTATTACAAACAAACGCGCGCACACACACACACACACACACACACACACACACACACACACACACACACACACACACACACACACCAAAGAATAACACATTCAATTTCAAACAGAAGAAACACTTTTTATTTTTTTTAACATATGAAACATGTGTTACATATATGTATGTTAGAACACGGTAAAGTACTAACTACTAAGTGGCAATTTATGGTGTGTACCACACATTAATGTGACTAAAACTACAAAAGATTCAGCAGATAGAAAAAAATAACTAATTTATTTGGAGAAACACTACACTCATTTGTTGTCAAAACATTTCAGATACAGAAACATGTCTTTTTTTTTTGTTGGACCATCATCACATTTTACAGTGCTCTTAAACATCATTTGCAGGTAAAACTACTCACTTGAAATTGTGGGACAGGTATTAACACTACCCAGTGGTGTCAAACACTGATTCTGATCAATTTCAATTGTCGTGTATAAAAACATTTTTAATCAAACTTATCTGTTTGGGTGTTTTATATAGATCAATATCTCTTTAATAACAAACAAACAAGCAAACAAACATTAATAAACTTCTATGTAATTACAGTGTGGGATCTGTAGTGAAGCTCAAATGTTATCATGTCCACAACAGATTTGAGTTTAAAGTAATCTTTTAATTTTAAAAGACTACTTTAAAATTTAAGTAAAATTAAAGTAATCTTTATTCCTTCGAACTTCTGGGTCGAAGGGATAAGAATGCCCCAACCAGACTCCCAAGTCTGATGGATAATTTGTAGAGAGACAAAGATTAGGGTTAGAGCAAGGAGACTTTCCAACTTGAAAGACTTGAAGCTCCTTAGAAATGATAAATTATCAAACCACCGTGGAAAGATGGAAGGTTTTGCCACTGTAATGCCAATAAGCAGCCTTTCTCTGATTAATGAGTGATATGAATGGTTTGTTATTATAATAAAATGTAAGAAAACATAAATATATTAAAAAAAACATTCTTCTTTTATTTAACTTTTTTTATCTTTTGGAAGATATGTTTCTTTTCATGTCAGAAACCATCAATTTGTTTGATTAAAAAAAACAATCAAAATATGCTGAGGGTTTTAAAAAATTGGTAACAATGGTATATTACAAGAAAAATATCTTAAAGCAATAGAAATAGGAATAGGAAGCTTTACATCACTAAGGCATGACATTTTAGGGCAGTCAAAGATAGAAAAAAATTGAGCAAATTTCTGACAAAAAAAAAATCAGCAATTTTATAGAAAAAAATAAGTAAATTTTCAGTTTTTAAAAGTCATCAATTTGCTAGAAAAAAATCTAAGAAATTATTGAATTTTGAAACTCACAAATGTCCATGTTTTGTCTAGAAAATTTCTGAGATTATTCTCAAAATTTTTGAGTCTGTTTCTTAAGCAATTTTTGTCCTTTCAAACTCAGAAATGTCTTAGTTGTTTCAAGAGAATGCCTGAGATTAATCTCAACTTCTCTGAGTTGTTTTTGGAGGAAATGCACTCTTTCTTTTTTTTTCTATCTGCAATGGCCTTAATATGCCATTTTATCTGGGAATGAAAGATATTGAGATTTGTATTGTATTAAAATAACATTCTGAATGCAAGTTAATGGCACAAACAGTCAAAGGTCATATTTTTACTCTATTTAGGACAAATTGCTTATTGTTGGTTTCCTAAAATAATGACCTAAGTCATTTCATTGTCCAAACTGATTTGGGGAAGAAGAAAAAACTTTTTTCTTTCCAAAAGATGTTTTATGCAAAAAATAATAATACAATCACTTTTTTTTGCAAAGAAAATTACTTAAGCCATTATTTTAGGAAGGTCACAATAACAGATAACATTGATAAATGAAATTCACACCCAAAAAGACAACCTGAACACATTCTATGCCATTTACCTCAATAATTTTAAATAAAAATGAAATTAAAGCAACAACAACAAAAAAAAGAGTCAAGAGACCCAGGAGGGTTAAAAAATCTCCCGTAGAGCTCCCCCTCATCTGGTGACGTTAGGCTCATTCCCACAATGCCTAGTAACACGCATGCGCGGTGCGGCCGCTATAAAGCTGCTATCTGTGCTCAGAGATGGCGGGCGCCTCCGACCCCCTGGAAGATATGCTCTTTTCAGAGGTGGATGAGAAGGCTGTTAGCGACCTGGTGGGCTCTTTGGAGTCTCAGCTGACTGGGCAGAGCAACTCCGCGGGGAAAGCAGACGAAAACGGAGGCGCTGGCTCTGTGGCCCCTGCTAACCATCACTTAGGAAAAACGCTCCCAGCTCCAGTGAGTACCACAACACTAGAACAACAACAACAACCTGGACGGCGGAATAAACCTGAGATGCGCCAGGAGGTGAACTCTAAGGACGCAAGCCCGGATAAAACTGTCACCTCTCCGTCGCTGAGCTGCTCCTCTTCTTTTGGCGAGCCTCCCAGCACTTCGGCTGGCTGTGTGAACGCCACTAGCAGCGGCATTCAATCACATGGAGCATCCATCACACCGCTGACTGCATCTGGCGTGTCAACTTTGGCATCCCCGCAGGACAGCATCAGCACCACATCCAGTCGGAGCGCCAAGGTGAGCCAGTGCACAGGTGAGGCGCCCGCGGAGGCCAGCGCTCCGAGGAAGCGCGTCGCGACGCCGAGAAGGAGCCCCTCGGCGCGGATAAAGAGTTTGAACGGCGCAGCGGTGACGACGAGACGGAGCAGCATCACAGCGGTGACCGACAGCAGCATCATCAGCTCCGTGGACCCGGGCGCAACTCCGCCAAACTCCACTCGATCGGCCATCAACACTTCCACGTTCACTCTGTCCAACGCAAACCTCCCCGTGGGTCAGTCGGCTATTCCTCTGGACCGGGGGACTCCCACCATTGCCTTGCACAGACTCCCGAGTCACATCGTAGCCAGTATTGCCCAGAACGGTAACGGGACCAGCGTTTCGGCGCTGGTCCAGCAGGGTGCTCGGATAGAGCCCGCCACATCCTCATCTCCCACGGGAGATCTCAGCAAGGCGGGCACGGACACCGGAGCTTCCAAAACAGACGACTGTCAGTCCAATATTGTAACGCAAAGCCAGGTTGGTAGTGTGAGCTCTGTAATAAACACTGTACTACCGTCTGCTTCCTGCGCTATCACACCAGCAACAACCACTACAGCAGCTCCTACTACCACCACCACAGTGACCCAGCCTCTGAGCTCCGCTACAACAGCTGTGTGTGCCACCGCCATGGCGACCACATCTGTCTGTGGAACTGTCCAGACCACAGCTGTGACCTCCACCATGAGCATGGTCAGGCCCACAGCTCCCTCTCCAACACCTGCCGTGGCCACCCCTGCACTGTCTCAACCCCGTCCAGGGGTCCCAACGCCTCAGAGGATAGTAGCCCCCCAGCTGATTGTCAGACCTTCACAACAGCAGACCACCATTCAGCTTCCCCCTGGCTTTACCATCCCACAGGGTAAGCTTTTATTTTGGAGGGTTGGAGAGAATGTGCTTTTTTTTCCCTTGGTGTGCAGTGTGTTTATGTAAACGTTATTAAGCCTTGTTCTCCAGATTATCCTTCCCTTGTAAAGATGTTCACTGTAAACTATTTGAAGGTGGTTTAATTTGAAAATGAAGACGCACAGTCTGCTGCCTTGAAAGTGCAAGTAAAGTCAACTAGAGCATTGTTTTGGTTTTAAAGTTCATCAAGTTGATTTAACAACAAAAGGCAAATTGTCTAAATCATGGGTGAGCATTTATGGTATAGTTTATCATTTATTGCATTACAGTTCTTATAGTTATAAGAATTTTAATTTATCATTGTCATGATTAATTCCAAACCATCTCTTTTGTCATGATTGCTTTTTTACTATTTCCTCCACTATTTAATTTTTACTGTTTGTCCAAAAAGAGTCCCAAAAAAATCTAAATAAATTTGAAAATAGGGTTAAATGTAGTTACTTTGTGCACTTTAGTGATAAATCACACTTCTTTACGTGACAGGTGTCCAAAAGAAGTGTATTAAAAATCCACTTCTTTTAAATTATAGTTATGCGTTTCAAGAGCAGAGCATTTGTGTTTATGGAGCCATGCAGTTAGCTACAAAAGAGGTTATCAATAGTCCTTATAATTTTTGTTGTTATTAAAACAGTGGCACAATATTTTATGATAAAACTTTAAGTCCATATCGCCCACCTCTCGTCTAAACATTTTATAAGATCTGATAGCTCATTAACCTTCAATTGTTAGTAGTTATCGCTTAATACTGTAATTTACACCAACTAATTATTTCACATTATACAAGAAATCTGCTTTCACCTAGCTAAACAAGGGCACTTTTCTGTATTACTTTTACTCACATTATCAATTTAAAATAACTACTTGTTTTTAGCCAGTATTTTAGATTTTGAATCAACTTGGATGAACAAAATATCTGACCTGGTAATGCTATTTGTCTAGAATCATTTTAAATTTAGCTCAAACATTTGGTTCAAGCAGAACTTTAGCAATAGAAGAAAAATATCCTCAACTATTGTCAACGTAACACACTTCCATCTCACTCACGGTGCAACACGGGATACAAAAACATGCCGCTAAGCATCTTGGGAAATGGCTCCCACTCCTGCCCTTTTCTTCTTTCAGTTATTTTTATAACTGAAAGGAAATAAAAAACAAACTTTGTTTACTCAAAGTTTGTGTAAACAAAATTTTTTTGTCATTTCGTGGGGAATAAAAAGTCAACACAACTTACTACTTACTGTGAGTTTATTTTTTATAAACTCACATTTAAGTTAAAAGTCTAAAGCTTGCAATATTCCCTTTATTTAATGAGTAGAAGTTAGTGGACACAATTAAATGCGACTAAAATGTTTTACAGTGCACAAGGCATGAGCATAAATTTATCTTTTGTTGTTGCCCCACAAAGAAAACTATTGCCTCTCCTAACAGTTCATGTAAAACAGCGGTTCTCAAACGTTCCATAGAAAATCCGCAGTAGTTGTTTTTGTTATCAGTGTTGTGGCTACCAGCCCAAGGTGCCAGGCCTTTTAGCAGGGGAGGCACGCAGCATAAGCTCTACAAATGTTGCCTTCCTGCCATGTTTTTCTATTTGCACCCCACTCAGTGGGGAGTGAGCACCTCTTAATGTTGTAGACTGTGAATGGCTAATTCTGCAAAAACTGCTAAAATTAAATGACTGTTTCAGTTTTTTTCTTGGCTCCATTTGATCACATCTAGTCTAAAAATGAAAAAATAAATAAATAAATAAATAAATAAATAAATACTTAGACTGGTTAAGCCTAAATTGGATTATTCACTGTTTTAGACTTGGTTTGAGATTTACGAGGCCTTTGGGCTATCCAGGGTTGAAGGAGAGTGGCTCAAAGACAAAGGTTTGCCCAGGGTGCCATTAATGAAATGCCTCTGCACGTAATGCCTCACTATATCCAAAGTTTTGCCTTACCGACTTTTTCATTTGTTCTGTTTTGCCATAAAAACAGAAAAAGCATTCCTATCCATTTATACATGCTTAAAGTAAAATGAAATAAGCAGAAAGGCGCCTTAAAGTCAGGAAACAAGATTTTCTTCCAACCCTGACCTCAACATCCAATTTAGCCGATCTGCATGTAAAATAAGGTGATAATTGCAGTAATAAAGTTAATTTGTTCTGTGTGTATCTCATTGACATTTTTTCTGCACACTAATGCTGTCAGTAAAGATGTACCTTTAATGCTTAATGACATAGAATAAAGAGGCGTCATTTGTTATTAGCTTGTATTGCTAATTGCAATTAGCCTGTTCAATAGTTCAGACAGGAAATTCCAGATATAGAGCTGGCCAGTATGGATAAAATATATAAAAATATTATTTTTCTTCTTTGAAAGGTTTCAGATTTGAAGTCTGGTTTTTAAGATTGCATCTGTTTCAACACAAACTTAAAGAACAAATTGAAATATTCAATAAAAATAACTAATGAAATTTGAGATTTTGAAATGAGATTTACGAGGTTTGCTTGAGGCAGGAAGCAAATCTTCCTGCCTCAAGAATTGGTGGACTTTCTGGATTAATACTCCTTCTCAAGTAACAATATGTTGCTGTACAATTCCCATTTGCTGAACTGAGAGTCTGGAGGGAACTAAAGATCAGGGTGATGGCAAGGAGGACTTCCAACCTTAGAGGCTTGGAGCTTGTTACCAGATCAAATCATCAAAATACCTCAGGAAATATAAAGAGGATTTGATTAACAGGTTGCCAATTAGGATCAGTCTATTGATAACTGGTAAATAGTTACCAATTCTGCCTTTTTGTTGTTGGCAATTATCAATGGACTTGATAATTTGCCTTTTAGCTGCTTTCCTTATGAATGATTTTCTTGCCTTTAATTTCTATTTAGCTCCTCCACGACCCATTCCTAACATGTTTGCTGTGGTTTTGGTTTTCATGATGCTGTTTGTTCACATAGTTTCACTGACAAACCTCTTGGACCTTCACAGAGCAACTGTTGGCTGTTTATTTCAGTGTATCAGAGTAAAATGATCTAAATATAAATACATCCACAACTGTTGAAAAAGATGTATTATTTTAATTTGACTCAACAGTTATCCACTATTTTCTGTTGGTTTACAAGTTGAAGTGTCTGAATTAGACTGGCATTTGGGGCTTTAATATGACAAAAAGTGAAAATGTCAGAATAATTTTGCCAGGCACTGAATGTTAGACGCCTGTGAGATCAGTTTCAACAAAATATCTTCCTTTCAACTACAAACTTAATTATGTTTATTTGATAGAACCATTTTGAAGTAATGTCATCTCAAGGCATTTTATAAAAAGTAATTTTATTTCAGTCATACATACATTTCAATTGATCCCAGGTATCAAACAATGCAGTCGAGTTCAGTTCATTATTCAAATTAGTCAAAAAGTTTTTTGTCTAAGGAAACCCCGCAGTTTGCATTGAGTCACTGACTTGCTGCATTCACTTGTCCTGGACGAACAAGCAGCAACAGTAGACGATCACACGTGTCGCTGGTTTTTACAGCACTCCCTCATACTGAGCATGCATGTATCAACAGTAGAGAGAAAAAAACCCTCCCTTTTAACTGCAAGAACTCTCCAGTAAAACCAGAACCTGGCTCAGTACGAGCGACCATGTGCCAAGACTGATGGGGTTTCAGAAGACATAGCAGATACACAAAAAAGAAACAGAATCACTTTCTAATGCTTATGAAAAGTAAAAAGTTAATGGAAAGAGATGGAGAACGTTTAGTTTTCGGCCACATGCACCAGACACCGAATTTATCGGTTCAACTCAGTTAATCTGAGAGCAGAATGTACAACTATTCTGTATGCATTTTGTTCCAGTCTCACTTCCCATTGGTTTTAAATACTTTTAAGAAAAAATGTATTTAAAGAATTTCAAATATTCCACATTTATGGACATATGTTTTACTTTTCGAATTGAGAATTTGCTAGTTTTTCTAAATGGAAAGAACTTTGTTTTCTTTGTTTTATTGATTGTGCTACTGTTCTTACTTACCTTGTTCATGGTCAGTAGCCAGAAGGGTTTCTGTGCTGCCCTTCCTCTGAGTCATCTGACCTCAGAAAAAAATTATTTAGTCTAACAGTACCATAAGGGTTAGAATACACGGTCAACTTTGTTATTTACAATAAACTTTGACAAGTTGTCAATGTTATAAAAAGAAATGCATGAGTAAGTCGACCAAAGGTCAGAATCAGACAGTTTTACTATAATTAGATTTTATTGGTTAATGTGTACACATATTAACTAACAGAAGGCATTTTCTTTGAGTTTGTTGAAAGGAGAAATACATGTTTTGATGCTTAAATCTGAATGATCGTTTAGTTTCTTCATATTCTTTTGATTTCAAAGCTCTCTCTACCTCTATTGAAGTACCTGCCATGCAGTTTTGGCTCTTTTATGTGTCCTAGTTCCCATGTGAAATTTGTTTAAAATCTTAATTGTTAGGTCAGACCTCAAAGAAAAGCCTTAAATTCAGACATCGATCTGACCACTAAATGGGAGGGAAAGTGCACGAGTCATGAGACACAACAACATAATTGAGGAATGGCCTTTGGCTGTTTCTTCCTCATGACCTAAGCGCTAATAGTCGTTCCTCGCTGCCATGCAGGAATGGTGCTGGTGCGCACCGAATTGGGCCAGTTGGTGTTGGTTCCTCAGCAGGCTTTGGCCCAAGCCCAGGCTCAAGCCCAGGCCCAGAACAACATCTCTCCGAGACCTGCTGCTCCAACGACGGGAACGTCCTTCAGAGTAACAACTCCACAGGTGAGACTCGCCTCCAGAGCTCAGTGCTAGTTACCATCATGCAGTAACATCCCTTGTTCTGGTGTGTTATGTCTCTGTGGCATGGTCTGCTTTTACGCTCACCATCATCTGATTGTTTATAGGTAAGGACAAAAACTGGAAGCATGCTGCTGTTTGGTAACTTTCATATAGATTCATTCAAACTATTATCATTTTTTAAATTATTATTATTATTTTTAAAGACATTAGGGTTTTTTTATGGTTTTATACTGGAAATGGAAACAGCATAGTTTTATTTGAGTTGGGAAACATATAGGTATTCAAAAATATATATATTTAAAAAATGCAATAATGTAACTATTAGTTGTAAAAAAAAACAATATTTCATTTGTTAAGCTGGTTGGTCTGTAAATGTAGCTACACCAAATGGAACTTGATATCTTTTTTTAATCCAGATATTAACCTTGTTAAAGAAAGTGCTGATGACATGCCCAATATTCTCATTTAAGGAATTTTTTCCTATCAAGCATTGTTGAGGTCGAGATACAGTCTGAAAAATTGGGTATGTTCTTTTTTTTTTTTTCCCCCACATATTGGGACATCACAGTCAGGCCCCCCTTCATGCCACATTATAACCACCGTATAATCTCCAATATCTCCTGACATTTGAACCTAATGGATCACAAAAATTTTAGGAAACATTATTTCCTTGTGAAGACTTTTGTAGCCCTCTTTGCACTCTTTGCACTCAACACATGGTTCCTCCTTTTTCCATAAGAAACATGTAGGAACCCAGTAAATCAACACAGCGCTACCCTGAAATGCTGCTAATTTGAGGTCTGCTAAGCTAACATATCCCATGCAACAGACAACCATTGTAATGGTTAAATTAATTTCAAATTTACATTTATTTCTTGTAGCAGCTGCTTTGTGTGGAACAAAAAGTGAACTATGTAACACTTGGAAAGTGCAACCCACATATCTTCATTTCATTGCAGCTTAAGGTGCATTTTTATATTATATTAGGGCAAACAACCATTTTTAGCTCTTGAGAGCAAGCGTGATCACAGCTAAGGTGTAACCCCATGTCTTTAGCTAGTTAATCTTTTAGTTAATCTCACGGTTGGTGACCTTTGTGAAAATGAATTTGACTGATTGAATTTGATAAACTTTGATCTTTTTTCACACTGTTGAGCCTGAACCCCGTGAATAAATGCACGGCTTAACTCTAGTTGTTAATTGCAGTATGATTGATATCTTAAAACGCCTAATTAGAACAAATGGATATACTTGATTATTTTATCCATAAATTCAATTGAGATTAATTGGTGAATTAACATCTCAAGGCTTCATAATGACTCCACGGGGTCCTCTCATAAAAAATTTAACGGGTTGCTGAATCATTAATAGGAATTTGATTATTATCACCTGTGGATACATCATTCATTTGGAAGCGGGAACTTATGCTTCTGGGTGCACACCTTTGGAAAGTACTAAGTGTTCAATTACAAGGTAGGTAAATGTTTAGGTCCTCTAAGTTCAGATCAGTTTTACTGACACAGAGCACCTGCCAGGTAAATAAATGTCTTTATGATTCAGAACAAACCATTTAGTATTTTCTTAGTCATTTATTGTGGTTTTTATTTTTTATTTTTTATTTTTTCATTTTCTAATAATAGTGTTATTGGTCAACTCTAAAGCTTTAGTTATAACTATAAATGAAATATGAGGATCTGGAGTCCATAAATGTTTCAAAAAGTATTTATCTCTCAATAAATACAATCTAATTTCTTGGTTAATTGTTTATTTATGGAATTGTCACTAAATACAAGTATTTAAAAGAAATGTATATCCCTTAATTTTTCAGAGATGAAAATAGTTTCCATCCCTGTTCACTATTGTGGGAGACATATAAATAATTAAAGTCTTTATGTTATTATTGTTACTTGAGCTATTTCTCTGAGTGACTGTTTCTCTGCTATTTGAAGAATATAAGCATCATGAATTGCATGTTATCTAAGCTTACAATTACAAGGCTTTTTGACTGGTTGTTGAATAATTAGTTTAAAAAGGATGAAAAGCGTTTTCTTTTTGTAGAAACCTGACACCCCAAGAGTAACACCGTCTTTTAACTATCACTTTCCATTTGTTTTTTGAATCTGTACGTTTTTGTGTGTGTGTGTGTGTGTGTTTCCCTTCATTATGTCCAGTAAAATACCTCTTTTAAAGACCTCTTTTTTGGACAAAATGTGTGACGTATGAAGGAGCTTAAAGGGGCTCGACTAGTGAGAGCTTGCTGCTCTTATAGCATAATAAAAAAACACAAAATAAAATCCAGGGTAACCACTTGTCTTCAGAAGTTAATATAAATACTTTTATTGTATGTCGACCTTAGAATATTAATGAGCAAACTGCACCATGGTGACCTAAGAACACACAACACAGGGCAGGGATAAAGAGTTTGAGAGGTTTAAAACAGAGTCAGGGTAAAAAACAATGTCCCAAGTCGTAAAAACCTCTTTGGAGTGAGTTTTGTGTTAAGCCAGGAAACAGCCAAGATATTCATAGTAACTCTGGAGGAGCTGAAGAGATTCACATCTCAGGTGTGAGAATTTTAGGAGTAACAAGAAATTAAACTATGTATTGTTTTCCTTCCACTTCACAATGATGTACTTACCTCAGTTTAATCTTCAGTCAATAAAAAACATTGAAGTTTGTAGTTGAAGTTTGTGAAGTGTAGTTGCAAAGACAAAACATTGACACTAGAGGGCAGCATTTCATTACTCAATTTTTCCAGTTTGGTTCGTCCTGCTTTTATTCTCTGACATTTACTATTATCTGTTCCTCCTAATTTCTGTGCAACCTCAAGATAAGACAATATTTTGGTTTTATATCATCATGCTTTATTTCAAAAGTCAGTGAAAGCTAAAGCATATTATATCTGGGGAAATAGAAGAAGGTGGTAGAACTGACATAAAAAAATGTTCAAAAACGCGTCCTCTGTTTGGGTTCATATGCAAAATGCCGAATGTCAGGGTTTAAAATTCAGAAATGTAACATTCTGGTGTATAACACAACCTTGCAGGTAGTTCTGCTCCCTCAAAGAATAAACTTTCATACTTTTTAAACCTGGCATTGAGTGATTGTTCTCATGAAATGTTTTCGCCTACATAATCATGAGAAAAACTGTTAAATGTTAGACAGCAAGTTGGTCAGGGTGTTGTGGATAGAAATCTGTACCAGTTCAGAGCAGAACTTTGCTTCCAGCCAGCCAACCTGCCTCCATCCTGACATGCTCCGCTCAAAAGAGACTCGCAGATTGTCGTCGCCTCTCCCAGTCACTCTGTTGACAAATTAGTGGGCCGCGGCGTTGCCATCTCGACAGGAAAAGCAGTAGCTGTGAAATGAAAGGGAATGGTGTTTATTCCCAGAGCTCAACCCCTCTGTCGGCCTGTCACTCTTCCTATGAGCCCGAGGGGAGAAACGGAAGGCATCCTGAGCTTCCTTCCTTCCATACCTGTTAAATCATTCATCATCCAACTGCCTGATTATTTTAAAAAGCTAACAAGGCTTTGGTTCTCCAGTGTGCTCATGTGGGAGTGAAAGTGAGCACGAGTGGGGCATAGCTGGGGGTGGGATGCACCCCGTGGCTCCTACCTTCCCCCCCCATTCATCCGTCATACACTGACTTCCCCCAACTCTTTAGCTCTACAAAACTTTTAGTGGAGGGGAAACTCCCTCCTCCTTTTCTTATCCTACTTCTGCACCGAAAAACTGCCCACGTTTTCACTGTGTGCGTGAAACTACAGTTCACACGAGTGTAAAACCTAACAATGTATCGCATCGCTATATCAATATTTGCTTAGATGAAATTGTATTTGTGTTTGGCATTCATACTATGAATGCCATGACTATATTTAGCCAATTGGATGCTCTCTGACTTCCCTTGATTCACATAACGTGTACATTTTTAAGTGGCTAAGTTGCCAAAATTCAAAGTAAACCGCACCGCATTTCAATATTCATCAAAAGTATTGCAATTACACGTTTTCCTAATATTGTGCAGCTCCGTTTGAGCCTAAATTTGGAAGCATGTGTGTTTGTGGAGGTATTTCTATGACTTCTTGGTCTTGTTTGGGAGCCAGAGGTCAGAGCAGAAGGCCTCCTGGGTTGTTTTGGCCAGGAGTTGGGCTATATAGTAGCGTGGTGTCACACTTCCCCCACTTATTGCTTTCCCTGGCTTACAAGGAAGACAGATCCAGCTGAAAAAGCAAAAAAACAAACAAGTCATTGTATCCAAACTCAAGGAGTGCCACCCTTAACAGTTTTAAACCAAACTACAGTTAGCAGAATGTCTATTAGGTTGGCAACAGAGCAAATAGCCCAACTAATTATTTGGCCAATATTAACTTGTTATAATTATGTTAATCTGTATTTATATTTTTTACAAGATTGTCAATATCACATGCACAATAAATGTTCTGGATAACACTTTCAGAGCAGTAGTAATCACAATATGTTTGCGTTGGCAACAGGAGGAATAAATGTGGCTTTTCTGTTTTTAAATGAAAGCTGTTAGATCATGTTCTTTATTTCTATTAAAATGTTTGTGTGTAAATACTGTGAGGCAGTCATCTTATTCTAAATAATAAGCTGAAGTAAAAATACAGCTTCAAATGGCTAAAAAATGTGTTTTCAAACAATTGATCATTTACGTATGGTGAAATGGTCATAATTTCTCTTTCATGTCGGGGATTTTCTTCAAACGACTATAAAGAAATTTATATTCCCTGACTTAAAACGGAGAGATCAGAAGATTTGAACCGTCTTCCTGTGATGCAAGCTGTCAGACTGCTAGAATAGTGAATTGCTTTTCAGACAGGGGTCCCATCATCTAATAGAGACATTTTTTTTTTATTTGAGCTTTGATGGAGGAAAGAGATTACTTCACCCTGCTTTTAAGATTATTCCAGCTTTCCAGCACAACATGCTTTGTTCCACAATTTCCTTCCATTTACACACATAACATGATGGGAACAACCAGTGCCTGCATGACATCCTGATTCTCTGCAACTTGGCTTTGTGTCAGTCTTTACCGCCGCCATCATGCTCACACCATCTTCTCTCCTCCTTGTGACCTTTCTCTACGTGTCTGCGAGGCACGCTCCGGCTTTTTCCTTATCCTGTTGCTCTTTTTCTTTCCAGCAGTCTCCTGCAACTTCTCAGACCACAAGGCCGTGCCCTTTGACCCCGGCCAAGATGGCACCGTCTCCCTCTCCCGCACCTTCCAGCCCTGCCCTCCAGACCTCTTTCTCCTCTACTTCCTCCTCCTCCTCTTGTCCTGCACTCCGCCCTGTGAGCTAACACTCCTCGAATGATGAATTCATGTGTTATTCCTGCAGCCGTCCTGATAGCTCATGTTGAGGAACAATGTTAGGATGTGGCTTTGTTTTTGAGAGGATGTTTTGCATGAATTATTTCTTGGAGTTTTGTTTTTTTCTCTCTCTAAGGAAAATCAGAATTTATTCATTATGCTTTCTAAAATATCTTACCAATAAGTTCTTTCCTGGGTTATTTAACTGCTATCAGATAATATAGAAGTGTTAGCTTTTGGTTGCTGAGAGACCCTTCTAAACTGTTTTAGGCTCTGGTTAGTCTGCTTTCTTTGAGCTCTAGTTCATTTACCTTGAAAGTCCGGTTTGTTCGGGGAGATGTGAAGGGCAAGCCTAAAAATTTAGGCCTGTCGCGATAGCTAGCATGTGTTCGTTTACCCAAGACTAAAGAGAAATCTTACAACCACAAAAATCTGAGCTATTCCAGTTTTGATTGTGAAGAAGGACGGTGCCATCATGTCTTCTTCAGAGGTTTTCGTGTCGTTTCCTTCGGAGCTTCTTGATGCAGCGCTGAGTGCGCTTCAATATCTGCTTTTTCTTGTCAATCATTCATGCACTTATTATTAAATAAAATATAAAAACACATCACTACAGCAGAAGCTGTAATGTCGTGCCGGTAAGGTGGTGCCAGCCATGAGTGAGCATCAAGCATAGGTTTAACAGATAACTCTGTTTCCAAGCTTCTTGCTTGTCACTGCCTCCCCTCTCCTCCTCCTTTTCTGTTAAAAGATGTCCGCTGAAGTCAGGAGACCAGATGTGACAGGAGCGCCGTGGCGCCTGCCTCCTGTTCTCTGTGGCCTTGCTGCGAGCAAAGCGTCACGTCCTGTTTGTCTCTCTGTCTCTTCCTTGCTCTTCCAGAAGGGCCCCGTGGTGCCGACCGTGGCAGTGACGGCTCCGCAGCAGGCCCCCATGGCCATCACCCCCCAGGCCCAGGCCCAGCCTACCTCCCAGCCAGCGGCACAGACGCAGACGAGCGTCGCAGCGGCCCCCGGAGCTCCGGTCGTGTCCCAGGTCTGTTCTCCGCCGTTTCCCAGGAGGCCGGCGCTGGTTCCTGGCACGGACAAGGAGTCTCACACATGCCCACAAACATTTGCACCCATGCATTCACACTAGTGCATACCCAAGGACATGCAGCCAACATGAACTCTTGCTTGTTCGCAAGGCTGAAACGATTAAGCGGATTAATAGCAATAAAGTGGTTATTGAAACAGTCGTCAACTAATTTAGTGATTGATTAATCTTTAACTGGAGCATACAGACCCAAAAAAAGGCCAATTGCTGAAAGAGTAATATTCTCATCTTTATTTTCTAATTTAATTAATTTTACAATCTTATTTTATTTTTTTAAACATGGTAAAAAAAAAAAATATTCCCCATGTTTCACAGGAGATGCAAGAAAATGTGAAGAAGTGTAAGAATTTCCTGGCTACACTTATCAAGCTGGCGTCTCACAACTCTCCGTCTCCTGAGACTTCCAAGAACGTCAAAGCTCTGGTTCAGGATCTGCTGGTGGGTGTGAGAAACCAAACAAACTGTATTGTCTTCATTATTACATAAAGTGTATAGCAGCTCTTTTTAACATGGCAGACATTAATGAAATTGTATTTCTTGAACATCTGACTAACTTCAGGTGGTAAATAGCCTAATTGAACTAGTCAACTTTGACCTTTTGTGTGTTTTGTATTGAATATTTTCAACCTGTAGATGGCAGCATGAAACTTTTTCCAAAATCTACTTTCTGAACTCATGAATTTTCAACCTTTGTTTTAGAATATACTTTAAGGTTTTAGGATCACCATGTTAATCTGCCTGGTTCTTGTTTCTCTTCTTTCTGTCCGACAGGATGCCAAGATTGAACCAGAAGAGTTCACCAGCAGGCTGCAGACTGAGCTCAAGTCGTCTCCGCAGCCTTACCTGGTGCCATTTCTCAAGGTGGGCTTTTTGTTTGGGGGTATCTTTTTAATCTATCAATTAAAATCGAAAGGCTAAGTAGCTTTATTCTGGTATTGATAGCTGCAGCAGACATTTCTTTGAACTTTTTTTTTTTTACATTTTCTCACATTACAACCACAAAGTTTATTTTATTTGGACTTTCTGTAACAGACCAGGAAATGTGCACTTATAGTTTTTAATTATTATCACAAGTAAATATCAAATGTACATGGCACGTTTGATACGCATGCGCCACGTTCAGTCGTGATTTCCTAAGTAACGATAAAACAACCAGTGTACCCAGCTGCTGAACTTGTTGTTGCAGCTGTATGTGCTGCTTTGTGTTGCTGTGTGACTGCAATCTTCATGACCTCCCTGTGTGCGTCAACAGAAGAGCCTCCCGGCCCTGAGGCTGTCTTTGTTGAACAGTCAGCAGTCCCTGACCCAGCCCCTGCAGCAGGGAGTCAAACCAGCAGCCGGCGGCACCCCTCCTGCCATGGTAGCTGGGCCAGCTGTCCGCATACGGCACCCTAACAGCGTCAGCACCACTGCGGGTGCCAGCGTGCTGCCCGCTGGGACTGTCGGACATGCAGCTGCCATGGTACGTACAGAGCAGAGCCGTGCTCCGGTGCAGACACAAACACGACAGCCATGTTCACGAGCACGGGTCCAATTTAAATTGAACTGAAGCCCTCAATGACTCATGAGAAGAAAACGCTTATACTGTTGTTTTCTTGACATCCTGAATTCATTAAACGGGTATGAGAAAATCCTTTGGATCACTACTATATCATTAGTTGATGGGTTTTTATATCGAGCTACATTGTTTTGCTGGAGAATGTAGAATCCTGTGATTTAATGCATCACATCCAAGAGTGAGTTTGGTGATGACGCAATTCCCGCCGAAACTTCAGTGATTGGGAAAGAATAGATTTGGATGCACTCAGATCTCTGAAAGTACCCCACTTTTGATAAACTGACCTCAACAAGCTGCAGAAAA